TCAAAACATGAGTTCAAAAGCATCTAGGTTCTAACCTCGTGAGTATAAATTTAAAATATGCTTGTCTACTTGCATTTTGCATTTTCAGAAAGTAATGTTAAAATGGAGGCCTTTCCAGGAGGGTCCATATAAGGGGAGTGATAAGCATTGTTTTAAATATCGGCCGATAATCGATATTATCGGCCGAGTTATCGGATTTGGGAGCTCTCCGCTAGGATAAATTGGATTTTTAATCAGTTGTCGTTTTTCTAGGTTTATCGGCGATTTATCGGCGTTATCGGCACTTATCGGCCGATAAGTAAGACCTTTTATCGGGATTATCGGCCCATTTTGACTAACATTATATTTTTTCAAGGCTATGATGCAAGTTTCGCTTTCTACAATTGGTTAATGATTCTAAACATGATGATTTACATTTTGGTATGTTTATATTTTATTAAGCATGATTAGATTATATTTTTTAATTGTTATATTATATATACACATCATCCAGTATATCACTCCGATAAATACTACTTATCCCCGATATATCCCCGATTTCCGCTATCCAAGAAAGTAATGTTAAAATGGAGGCCATTCCAGGAGGGTCCATATAAGGGGAGTGATAAGGGATGGTTTTGCTTGACATACATTGATAGCAAACAGCCTCTAGTCGATTGAAACACATTGTTCGCTCACAGCATCTAAACGCTTTTCAGCCTAGCAGTTTCCTAACAAATGTCAAATATGCTTCGCCTCAGTTCAACCTCATCCTTATTCTTCAGTGACAGATGCAGAATCCTCCCTAGTCCAAAACCCCCTACCCCAATCATTTCCATTGTTAGTTTAGACAACATAGACTACCAAGAATGGCAATAAACAAAGATGCAAGTGTTACTTCTGAAAGAGCTACTTACTATTACGTACATAAATACAACCATCTCTATAAGCAATGTAATGGCCAGATCATACTCAAAGTATCCACTACGCATAGCTTCATGTGGAAAGACGTTAAAGGTTTTAATCCAAAATTCGAAACAGCAGCAGTTAACAATCAATTAAACTTTAAAATGTCAGAGAACCTTATACGGGTGGCCCATAAGCTATAATTAGATAAGGCAATTGGATGAATACATGCCAAAAAATGACACGACCAGAAATATGTAAATTACAATTACCATAAACAGTCATCGCAGTCCATGAAAATTAAAATCATACTGTTGCACTTGCATTTTACATAAATTAGGAAAAGAGAAAAAAACATATGATGTGATTTTTGAAAATCTAATCAAGTAACTCGATCTCCACTTGCCTCACTTATCACAGTTTCCTGTGGCGAGGTAACTCAACTGTTCAATCCAAGTAACTTCATTGACAGGTGCATGACATAGGCTGGCGACCACATATCAAGGGCCACATTTTGACATTCTCATCACATCCTCCGGTGAACACTTGGAGCCATCATCCTTCCAAGTAGAGCACAGAACCTAATTCATACAAATGAGTTGTTAGCAATAATATTTTTTCAGTTACTGCATGGTAGTTTAAGGGAGGAAATGGGTTAAGCATCTAATATATAGGAATACCAGTTGGTCATGGCGTATGGCGGCCTTCGCCTCACTGTTGCCTGTCATAATTTCCCGAACCTAACCTGGCGATCATTCAAAGCAAAACCAGAAGAGCTATAATAACATCCAGGTAGCAGATGTATGGTATCAAGGTTATTGCAGAACTCATAAAATTAAGGTCTATTAACCTAAAAAACCTGGTTATCCTAAGAAGCAGCCATCAAGTAATTTGCCTTGGGACGGAAACTAAGGCTAGAGATCTTAAACTTGTAAGGTTTGGGGTTCACATTTACCACGTTGCAATCCCGGACAGTGTCATATTTTTAAAGTTAAGCTCATGCAGGATATCTTTTGACCGCACAGGCAAATGGTCCAGTAGCTCCCTACTTTGAGGCAGATGTTGCACCCACTGCAATCGCCCGCACCCACTGCAATCGCCCGCATCAAGGTTAGGGTGATACTTCAGGATCGACTCATTCCTGATAAAGGATTGGAGGTCGGTGATGTTTATTTGGAAGCGGAGAAGGATCACACGTGACAGCGAATATTCAGAAAATTTCAACCAAACTTCTACGGATAAAAATAACAAAATTAGATGCACAGAATTCAACCAACCGTACTCTATGCAGCCTTAGACCACAATCACAAACCTAAATTCAGTTATGCTTATGCCCCAAAAGCTTAGAACCTAAACCAAACATTCAAGTTGACATCTTTTCAGGAAACCCTTTTGTTAGGTGCCAACAATTACTTAAAAAAACACAAAACATCCCAAAAACAGAGATAATAAGGTATCAAACAGAATAAATTACAAAAGCTATCAAACAGAATAAATTACAAAATCGTACCTCATAAAACTTGTTAGGGTTCACATTCCCCACTGCGCCGATCCAAGAAAGCACAACTTATTTCTGTAAACTCAGCCCTCTAGGGATAAAAAGTACAAAATCGAAACAAATTAGACAATATTCAGAGAATGGAGCAAAGGAATTGCTTAAACCCTACAAATTTTGACCAATAGGATAAATCATACCTCAAAGACTTGTTAGGGTTCACATTTTCTGCTGTGTGACCTCGCATAGGGCTATTTATTTCTGTAAACTCAACCCTCTAGGGATAAAAAGCACATGATCGCAACAAATTAGACAATATTGATATAAAAGAGCAAAGGAATTGCTTAAACCCTAGAATTTCAACGAAACGGATAAATCATACCTCATAAGACTTGCTAAGCAACAAAAATGCAACAATTTAGAAAATATTCTGGCCCCTGTGGATAATAAGAACAAAAACGCGACAAATTCGAGAATATTCAGGAAAAAGAGCAAAGGCTTTGCTTAAACCCTAGAAATTTCAATGCAACGGATGAAATTATACCACATAAGACTTGTTAGGGTTCGCATTCCACGCTGCGCCCGATCCAGAGAGCAACATTTTTTTCCTATGAACAAAATCGCACCAATTTAGATAAGATCCAGGAAAAAGATAAAATGCCATGCTTAAACCCTAGAAATTCCAATCAAATCCAAGAAAAAAGTAGAGAATGAGAGAAGAAATTACCTTAGTTTTCGTGTTATTTTTCTGTCTTTTGCTCTTTCTTCGTCTAAACTTTTTTTTCTTTTTCACCAGCTGAGTTTAGAGAGAGGCGGATTATTATTTTTATATACAGGAGAATACAGCGTAGCGTAGAACTGACGCCGCAATTCATCGAACCGGGTCGGGTTCCGAAACGGGTTTTTAATGAAATGGACGGACTAGATGAGAGATTGATTATTTGGACGGCCGACGCTGAGCGTAGGATCTACGCTGACTTTAAACGCGTAGCGTATTCGGAGTTGCGAGTATGTTTTCGGGTTGGATCTTTTGACAGAGCTGTTTAGCACACGTTTAAAGCAATAAATTAGCGGGCTAAAATGAACTTATAATTGAACTGAGTGTTTCAACATGTTAATCCCTTAAATTGTTAAAATTAGTATTTTAACAAATTATTAAAATAGCTATCCTACTGGAATTAGTCCCTAAATTTGTTTAAAAATTCGAGCGCTTTAACTAGTCCTACGTAGTCTATGAAAGTATAAGAATTGCTTATTAAATCCTAAAATCTTACAAGTAGCTCCAAAATTAGTGCCTCGAATTAATAGAAATTACAATTAAATTTCCCAATTTAACAAGTCATTTCAAAATTTGTCCCTAAAATCTGGAGTATTCTCATCAAATGCTAGATATGCATCCCGGTCCATGTTTAGCACAATCTTCATTTCACTTTGGTACATCAAAGTTTAGCTATTTTTTACACTTTGATACTTCAAAGTATTTTTCAGCACTCTAATACCCAAAGTTACTTTTCTTAACACTTTGATACCTAAACTTTGGGGGTACCAAAGTGAAAAAAGGGTTTTTTTATTTGGAAAAAAATTCTTTTTTATCATCTTTGCATTTTAAACTTGATTAAAGAAATATTAATTTGCTTAAAAAAACGAGAACTTGCTTCAAACCCAAGTTGATACCCTTTTTATCATAGACTAGTGCCTGAGGCAGAACACATTTGTGAGAAATTAAAAGAGATGCATCAACAGCTATGCTAGTATAAATAGGTGTATAAAAACATTAATGTAGAAAATGATATATGAGCATTAGGTAACTCACAAAATAATGACTTATACACCTATGTGTGTAATAAAGAAATTGTTATTAACGTTAATGAAGTTAAAAAAAAGAAAAAAGAGTTATTTACATCTTGATTAGGATAAATTTTCAAAGCAGTCCTCTTTGGACTTTTATTCTCAAAAAAAGACATATTTCAAACTTATTTTCAAAAACCGATCTAGTGAAACTAGGTCGGTTTTTGAAAAAAAAAATTCCGAAACTTCACGGGAGTTGAACTCCCGTGAAGTTTAGCAGATTTTTAACTAACTGCTAAAACTTCACGGGAGTTCAACTCCCGTGAAGTTTTATTGCTTAAAACAAACTTCACGGGAGTTCAACTCCCGTGAAGTTTGTTACAATGCAAAAACTCTACGGGAGTTCAACTCCCGTGAAGTTTCAGTCAAATTTTTTAGAGAATCGTTCTCTAGAAAATTACGTCTATAACTCCATGGGAGTTGAACTCCCGTGGAGTTTGGCCACGCCTATATAAGGCGCAGACCCGTGAACTCATTCCCAAACCGCTCTCACTCCTTCCCCACCCTAAACCCTAGACCATCTCTCCCTCATCCCCCGCCACCCCCGCCCTCAGTCCCCACCGTCGGAGTTGATCGCTCTCGCCGCCGTTGTCGCCTGAGTTCACCGGAAATTAAGACATCGACAAATTGAAGGTAAAATCTTTTAAAAAAAAATTCTCCTAATTTCTTGTATATTCTCACTATTTCATGGTGATTACATGTAATAAATTAGACTTTATAAATTAATTGTGAATTACTGAATTATTTATGATTTTTGTGAAGAAAAATTAAATAATTTTGTGGATTTAGAGGGAAAATTATCAAAAATGTAAAAGTTAGTGTTACTACATATGTTTTACATCGATATATAAATTTGGTTAAAATTATGGATGACTAAAATTGATATAGGACTTAATGGTAAGTAACATTTTTTAAAGTTTTTTCGTGTAATATTAATCTTGAATTATTTACTCTTCAGAGGTAATGATGAACGATCGAATCGTAATTCTTTGTTCATATGATGAGAAGATTAACTATCTCGAAAATAATATGACCGTTTATGAAGGAGGTGTGACGAGAACGTTGTTTATAACAAAATCGTGTACTTTCGATGAATTGGTTAATGAATTACACAAACTTACATTAACCAACTCACGCGAGTATCACCTTAATGTTATTTGCAATTATCCTATTATGGGGAACAGAACAAGCGACATTCAAATATCAAGTGACTATGATATGGGTCTCATTGGAGTGTTACACTACGAGGAGCGTTCGGTCGAATTGTTTATTGAAAAACATCAGAGGAATTTGGGAAAATCGTTGAATCACGACGGAATGTACTCCCGCATATTGGAGGACCTTGAAGTTGACTCTATTAGCTTTTTATCTCCACAATAAGATGAAGGTTGGACACAATCATAATACATGAGTGGTCCTTTGTTTGTAGGCACTTCAAATGCTTTCGATACTAACACGGCCCATCAAGAAGATAATGCAAGTGTCGAATCCAAGAATGATGATAAAGAGGATGATTTACAAATTAATAGTATGACGTTGATAGATCGCGATGAAGGGGACAACCAACACATTGACGGATGTTATACTAATAATAAGTTTGTCGTCTTAGAGGATTCGCCACTCGATTAACTTTAAGGAGAAGAATGGATTGGTAACTCCATGATAGAAAGTGTTCCTATTGGCACTAATAACGGTGATGATACACAAGGCGAGGACTTCTTATTCATGAAGGGGGATCTTTTTGAAAGTAATGTTATGCTAATAATGAGTATGTTGTCTTAGAGGATCCGCCGCCCGATGAACTTCAAGGAGAAGAATGGATTGATAACCCCATGATGGATATTACCTCCTTTGTATAAAAGGTCGGCGGGGCGCCCTCGTACCGTACGAATTAGAAATAGTATGGATGACGATCGTGAAGGAATTAGGAGGAGAAATAAGTGCAGTAGATGCGATCAACCGGGCCACAACAAAAACAGTTGCCCAGCTAGGATTAGGCGTTGATTTGTAATATGTAGCGTTTTGCACTATGTTTGTTCCCGTATGATATTCGTAATTATAATTTGTAGTGTTTCGTAATATGTTCGCGATCTAATTTTAATGTTTGATTTCAAATTATTCCTTGTTCACATTGCACATTCGTTTGTTGTAATATGTTTTTTATATATGACTAAGTCAGTCATTCAACTAAAAAATCTAACACATTGTACATTGTCTTCTAATATTTTAATCTCAGATATATTCATTATAGATCCGGGACCGATACATCCCGACGTTTTGTACCTCCAGACGAGTCATTGTTCAGACCATATTGGCTTGGGATAGGTAAAACGTTTTTGGTATATATATTCCTTAGCGTTGACACTAATTTTAATTTTTCTCAATATACTTAATCAATTTTGTTTGACGTGCAGCCCGTACCAGACATCACAATGGTCGATCATTCCCAGAGTCATTCAGCTTGGATCATTGAGGACGAGAGAGTACTACAGCTGATAGCTCAGGCCGGGTTCCGGGAGTGTTCGACAGTGTGATATATTAGGTTTGATTGGCCGCTTATCACTACACTGATTGAGAGGTGGAGGCTAGAGACCAACACCTTTCACATGCATATATGGGAGTGTACCATCACCTTACAGACATAGCCATCATACTTGGGCTCTGCATCAATGACCCGACAGTTACGAGCACTGATGACCATAATTAGGCTGAGGTACGTGTTAGGCTTCTTGGTCAGGTTCCCGACTTGAGGAGTGGTGCGATGAAGTTGTCATGGTTTCGTCAGACATTTCAGGGAGATATACCAGCAGATGCCTCCATTGAGATGCTTCAGTTTCATGCTTGTACATGTCCGATGGCTGTCACTGCTGGAGGATTTTGGTGTATGCGGCGCACTATCGTGAGGAAGTACGGTGTTGGCATACTTGTATAGAGAGCTAGATAGAGTATCCTTAATGCAGAATAAAGAATTCAAGGGATGCTGCACGTTGATCCATATTTGGTCATGGGAGCGCATTCATGTTGGCAGGCCGACTTTGCTTGTGCACCGCAACTTACAGGGACAGTTTCCTTTGGCATACAGGTATAATTGTCCACACAATTTTATTCAACTGAAATTGAACTCATATATTATTTATGCCAAATAGGTACAATGTGCGGTACGCTAACTACAAATCAACGACGTGACATCGTGAGTTTTAAAGAAATGAGCTTGATGGCCTCCAACACGAACAGGTAAATATAAAACTCGATTCGTTATGAATATTATAGTTTTGTTATTGATACTGATAAATGTTTTATCTTATTTCAGTTCAAGTGGAGATCCTATTCACCGCCGGAGCTCGATATGCATACTCTTGCACCTATCTGTCGAGATAGTCCCGACTTGTGGAGAGCCAAAGTTCCATTAATCTATTGGGTGATTATGGAGATGCATGACCCTAACCGTGTGCTACGAAAATTTCTGCTCTCTCAGCATGTGCCAGAGCCTGTCGAGCAGATCAATCGTCGGTGACGACCTACATCGCACTGTACCGACAGGGTCGTAGTCTGTGCGGTCTACATAGACATGTGGACTCATAAGTGGGATTTCATACATGATACAAGAGACATAATTGTTGACTATACCGCGTATATACATTGGTATTGGGATATCATACGTAGATGGATAACGCGTGACCCACAGCCATCAGCTGGACACATGCCACGCCCACCGACAGACAGTTACATCCCTTGTGGGATGATCGAGAGAGATTACGTAAGTTTCTAAGCTAAACTATAATATTTTTTATTGAGATGGTACTTAATAAATTGTTTACCTCGCAGATATGTGCTTTTGATAGCATTGAAACTGATATTGATACGCACATGCCAGAGATTCAGGATTCGGTGGCGTTAGGGGTCTTCAACAGGATCAAAA